CCAAGCCGTTAGGTCTCTTATAATTATAATAATTGTATGCTTCCAAGTGTCGTAGTGAATTGTTATAGACAGGTAGTACGCTAGTTATTTTATTGTCATATTTTATAGTAATTCAATTTTTATTGCAGAAGCATAAAAGGAAAAGAAGCACATGACGGTGGAGGATCAATGAGAAAAAGAAGATAAGAAAGCCGAATCTGAGGAACTATGTATTAATTAAGATGTATAAAAAAATATATGATAAGAAGCAAAGGAAGTAAAGTCAAATAACATACTCGATAAATGTAATTAAATTGAATTATAAATTTATTGTGATAGATTATATGTGTTGCTTTTTGTTGCATTATATTTGTTTCTTTTTGTTGCGTTTTGTTTTTTGTTGTTGCATTGTGTTTCCTGTTGTTGCATTGTATTGCATATGGTTAATGTTTATACTTGAATTTGATTTTAGTTGTTTATTTAGGTTCCTAATTATCTTTGCTACTTCTTTGAAATTAAAAAAATCATGTATTGATATATAATCACTTAAATTGATAAATTTTGATCTATGAATATTAACAATAAAACTTGATGAAACGATAAAAAACAAATATGCAAAATCTGCAACACAAATAAACATGAAGAAACACAAAGCAACAAAACGCAACAAAAAATAACAATAGAATGCTAATAAGAATTAATTTGTAGCTTGTTAGAAAATTAATAAAAATCATACTGTGTGATATTTTCAAATTTTTTACGTTTTTTTACTATTTTAAAATTTTCTATTTGGTATTCGAATTTTGTGCTTTTCTCTCTGATTTTTTGGAATTATTACCTTTTCTGAAATTCTTAATACTTTTTACATTTTTTATTTTCTATTTTTTATTTTATTTTATGTTTTTTTTTGTTTTGTTTTATTCTTCTTTTTTATTTTTATTTTTATTTTTTTTGGTTTATATAATACGTACTCTTTCTTACACATTTTGATATTTTTTTGTATACTTTATTTTTCTTATAACTCTTTTTTTTGTACATTTTTTTATTTTCTTATTGTTTTTTTCTTTTTCTTCCTTTTCAGTTTTTAAATTTCCTTATACGTAATGTTTATTTTATTTTATTATTTCTGACTTTTCATTGTTTCAACATTTTTGTAATTTTTTTACATTTTTTCTAATTTTTATTTTCAATAAAATAAAATAAAATCAGTTTGTTTTGATGTTTTAGTATCGTAAGAAATAAAAAAAAGTTACTACGTACTATAGACTACAGCTTTCATTGTTTTTTTTTTAAGTTAGATATTTTTATGTTTTGTTTTGTTGTAAACATATTTATTTATACGAAGTAGTTATTTTCAGATTTTAAAATTTACGAATTTATATTTTTTCCAATGATCACAAATATTCCATATTTTACAAATTGTTTACGTTTGAACACTTTGCCTTGGTTAGTGGTTCCGCCAAAGTGATACTCCGTAGTATGTAGGATTACTGGATTAGTAAGTTAAAATATATGGATACGGTCTACGGGGGCAAGCAGCAAAGCGCGAGGCTAATTTTGAAAAGAAAACTTTGTGTTGTCTATTTTTGAAAACAAAAGTCAAAAGAGATAAAAGTGATAGTATTTTTGTTTTTCAGCCTACTTCTGAAAAAATCCCTTTATTTTTCCGTTCCAAATAAAAGGACAATTTTCAAAATATGAGTAAAGATCATGTAAAATTTTAAAACCGAAATACTACTTTTTCACTGGGAATGACTTATAGTCATCTCAAAATTTATTGTCATATTTTGATATTATTTCTAGGCCTTTTTATTCCAATATTACTAAAATGAATGAAAAAGATAAAAAAGTGATCTGTTTTAAATTTTTCAAAAAATGTGACTAAAAGTCATTTATTCCTTATATTTAATCATATATTTATTTTTTAATATTCCTTTTGATACATTTGTAACCACCAGTACCTCCGGTTCGCCAACCCCAGCACCGCCACCACCGACCCTAGCACCGCCGCTGCCGCCAAAGTGACTCCGGTCAAAGTGACTCCGGCCAAAGTGACTCCGGCCAAAGTGACTTCAGCCAAAGTGACCCCGCCGACCATAGTGACTGCCCCGCCAGTCACAGTGACTACCCTGCCGGCCACAGTGACTGTCCCGCCGGTCACAGTGACTGTCCCACCGGTCACAGTGACTGTCCCACCGGCTACAGTGACTGTCCACCGGCCACAGTGACACTCCGTCTCCGGTCACAGTGACACTCTGGCTCCGGTGTCACAACCCATCTATCCCTCCCCCGCTCCTCACAGCCTCCTACAATAACCCAGCCATAGGGCCGCCACTGACCATCACTGCCGCCCCCTCCCTAGCCCCCAGCCACCTATCCCACCCCCTCATATCTGCCAGCTGCCCATCACCCCTTCCCCTCCGGCCTCCCCTACCTTACAATTCATCCTAGCCGTTCAACACCATCACCCACCAATATTCATCCCCAACCACCAATCGTCACTCCCCTAACCTCCAAATGGTCACCACCAGCCAGCAGATCTCATCCCAGCCAACTGATCTCAGCCCCATCACCTTCGTAACCCTAACCATCGTTCACCACCGTCGTAACCTTGGCCGCCGCGCCTTTCACCTCAGATCTGAAAAAACGAAGAAGAAGAATAGATCTGGGCGGCGACTTGGAGGCCGACATAGGCGGCAACGTCGCACTCCCTATCTCGATGGAGAGCGGCGGCAGCTGGAGAGTCGTGGCGGCGGAGAGATAAGCCTGGCGGGTGAGGAGCTTTGTGTGTTGCGTCCATGGCTACTCTGGCGGAGGGAAGTGTTCGATGATGGAGAAGAGAGATCGATGCGTAAATCTCTTGGGCTGGGCTGGTGTTGTGCGAAGAGTGAACACGGATCACATTTTGGGAAAAGTTCAAAGTGGTTATATTTTTAGAAATGGGAAGTCTGGAAGTCATACGTGGGCAATTATTTCTTATTTCTATGTGGCTTTAAATATAACAATATACTGTGATAATAGACATTTTTTTTTCAAATATGAAAATTGTTGGAGGCATTGGTCCTACCAAGGCATCCCTTCCATTTTATTATTGACTTGCACCCCATGTTTATTCCCACTAAGCTATACCTATTAAGTTCTTCTATTTGTGGCCATTCATTGACTGTAGACTCTCCTACTTGGCCGGTCCCTTATTGTTGTCTGCTACAGCATGTCCTTTTGGCTTGGTGTTACCCGTGAGTTGTCAAGTGGCCAGCATCCTATTATTAGAAGCCTTAGCCTCTTCCTGTGAGTCTTAGCCTGCGTGAGATATTCTGAGAGTAGTGAGCAGTGGTCTACCCCTTCTCCTTCCTTTGTGTGAGAGTTGAGAGAGGTACTTAGTGGTTGGAGAGAAAACATGGTGAGGTGTTGTGGTCTAGCCTAGAGTGGTGTGTGTGAGTCTAGCTAAAAGGTTGGAGACCTGAGCCGGAAGACGAATAGATCCTAAACAGTGGTATCAGAGCTTGTGTTGTCGTCGCCGTCGATTTCGCCGGATTCCGCCTTCTAGAACGTCTCCACCGCCGTCCGCCGTAGTCCGCCGCCGTCCGCCGCTGTCCGCCGCCGTCCGACCACCTGCCCGTCGATTGGAGGTCACCACCAACTCTTAGCCGTCGAAGTTCCTGGAGGACGCCTGGAGGCTGTTCTCGACTCGGTCAGTCCGAAATTGCAAAGGGAGTCGCCAATTGCAGAAACCCTCGCCGGAAGGTTAAGCCCCGTCATCGCCGCTTGGAAGCTCGCCGCTGGTCGCCTGGGTGTTTGCCGGTCTCGTTCGTCGCTGGTTGCAGAAGGCAGAGGGACGACACAACTAGTACTGTTCATACGACGAGGAAGACGAAGGACGAGACTTGAGCCGCTGGGTTGCTCTGTTCGTTGGAGGACCACTGTAGCTGGACGCAGGTTGAAACTTTTGGGGGTTTTTTGAACCTGGGCTTTGGGCTGTTGGACTGCTAGTGGGCTGGAGCTTTTGGACAGTTGGATTGCTATTGGGTTGCTACACTGCTGGACTGCTTGGACATGGAGCTGCTGCTGGGCCGGTGGGTTGCTGTTGGACTGCTGGAGCTGTTGCTGGGCTGTGGACCTGGAGCTGGAAGCAGTCAACCGCCGGTCAACCGCCGGTCAACCGCCGGTCAACGCCGATCAAAGTCAGTCAACTTCCAGAAAATCCCAATTTTTTTGAAATTGGGTGGGTAAGGTCGAAACGCCTTTCCTAGGGTTTCGCTCCGGTATATTGACTTTAAACCTTTTTATCGCTTTTGTAGTGATTTTATAGTCTTTTATTGTGTGGAAATCCTGTTTTAGGTTTATTGCTTTTAAAATTGATAGAATTGTTGTGTTGTTCTGTGCTGAAAATTTATTATTTATTTGTGCTTATACGGAAGAACAATGGGTTTGAAGTTGAGTTTGGTGCTCATTAATCCTCCCCGCGTGTTCGTGCTAGTTGCTCTGTATAGATGTAGCCTTATAAATATTTAAATTGTTTTCAGCGAAATTTACATTTTCTTTTGTTGCTTATTTTTCTCTGTGAAAATGTCTACTTATAATCAGTATGGTATGGCTCCATTTAATGGAAAAATCTGATTTTAGCATTTGGAAGCAAAAAATTAAATGTATTTTAATACATCAAAAATGTTTTAAAGCAGTTGGCGAAACCTATTTAATTTCTGACATGGAAGATAAAAGGGATGAAATGAATGAAAATGCATGTTCTATGATTTATTTGAACTTATCTGACTCTGTGGTTAGAAAAGTTGGAATTTTAGAGAGTGCTAAAATTCTGTGGGATAAAGTGAATGAACTGTATACAGAGACCTCTTTGCCCAACCGAATAATTTTACTTGAAAAGTTCTTCAAATTTAGACTAGATATGTCTATGGATATTGAAGAAAATCTAGATGTTTTTACCAAACTTATTTCGGATATTAAGTTGTGTGGTGATAAGCATATAGATGATTATACCCCCATTGCTCTTTTAAATGCTATTCCTGATTCCTTTAGTGATGTGAAATCTGCTATTAAGTATGGTAGAGATAATGTGACTCTTCACATTGTGGTAAATGGTCTTAAGAGTAAGGAATTAGATTTAAAACAGATGGGTGAGGGTAGAAAATCCGAGGAAGTTATGCATGTGAGGGGTAGAGAAAATAATATTAGACGACATAGATCTAAGTCTAGGTCTAATTCGAGGCGTTGCTATTATTGTCATGAACCTGGTCATTTCATAAAAGACTGTCCTAAATCTAGGAAAAATGAGCATAGTGAGCATGCTAATTTGACTGCGTGTGAAGATGATTTAGGTGATGTTTTTATGATGAGAAATCTCTGTGATTATGACTATTTGAGTTCTGTGATATCTGATTCTTTGGGTAAATCAGATTGGGTGGTAGATTCTGGTTGTAGTTTTCACATGTCCCCTTCGAAAAATGTTTTTTCAAACTATAGAGAGATTGAGCATGGCTTTGTGTCTTTAGCAAATGAGAAGAAATGCAATGTGCTAGGAATAGGAGATGTATGCCTTAGGTTCTCTTCTGGTTATGTGCTTACTTTAAAGAATGTTAGGCATGTTCCTGAGCTGTGTTGTAATTTGCTATCTTGTGCTTCTCTTGAAAATGAGGGTTTGAAAGGAAAATGGGGAAAGGGAATCATGAAAGTTGTGAAGGGTTGTTTAGTTGTTTTAAAAGTTGAGATGAAAAACAACTTCTATGTTTGTCACGCTGAACTCGTACTTGATTCTGTGAATTGTGTGCAACCCTGTGTGTTAGGAAAACAGTCTAGAGTTAGTTTTCCTGATCTGCCTAAGTGTACTGCTGTTCTTGATTGTATTCATGCTGATTTGTGTGGTCCTTATAGTGTTTCCACTCATGGTGGGAAAATTTATTTTCTTACGTTGATTGATGATTTTTCAAAGAAAGTATGAGTTTTGTTGATTGAGAAAAAATCTGAAGTTTTTGATAAGTTTAAAAACTGGAAAACCCTTGTTGAAAAACAAACCGGTAAGAAAATAAATTTTTTAAGGACCACTGTCAGTTTTGATTTCTGTGATGATCAGCTTGGTGATTTATGTGATACTTGGGGTATTTCTATGCATAAATTTGTTCCCTCCACACCCCAACCGGATGGGGTTGCTGAGAGGATGGTTAGAACTTTATTAGAGAGGGTGAGAGCTATGTTAGCTTCATCTGGCTCTCTAATAAGTTCTGGGGGAAGCTATTTGTTATGCTGTTGATTTGGTTAATCAGTCCCCGTCTGTTCCCTTAGGAGGGAAATGCCCTGAATCTGTGTTCACGGGCAAACCACTTAACTTGCCAAATTTGAGAATGTTTGGTTGCGCTGCTTATGTGAATCGTGTGAATGATAAATCTAAACCTAGGACTAAGGAATATGTTTTCTTAGGATATCATGAATGCATGAAAGGTTATAGGCTTTGGTGTAGGAGTGAAACTTGCTTCATTTTTGTTGAAAATGAATTTCCTTGCCTGCTTGTTTCTCCTGATGTTGCTCCAAATGAGGTGGATCATTTGCTTGATGTTCATTCTGATTTACTTGTTGAAACCGAACCCAAATTTGTGGATGAAAATGATTTTCATATTGAAAATAAAGAAAATATTGTTTCTATTAAGGTGGAGCATCATATGAATGTTATGTGCAATATGCGTGAGTTGCGTGATTGCTATGTTATTAGAGATAGAGGCATTAAGGAGCATGAGAGAAATAATATGTGCAATGTGTTTGACTATATTTCCTCTGAGTCTGCTTTAAATGTGCTTAATTCTCTTTTAATTAAATCCTTTGTGATGTTTGATATGTTATTTTCTTTGTGTTTTGAAAATGTGATACCAAATGATTATGTGAGCTCTGCCTGTGCTAGTTATAGAAATACTATTGTTTCTTTTATTTTCTGTGTACTTGCTTTGTGTGGTTGTTAGATTATTTGGAATCCCCAACTTCTCCCAGATGCTTGCTTGCGTGGTCTATTAACATGTGTTGTGCTTGTTAATAGTTTTGTGATGGTTTTGGTTCTGAACTCGAGGACCGATTGGTAGAGTTCAGTCCATCGTGAATTGGGTTTGCATGGTAAGCTTGGTCCGAAAGGGAACTTTGGTTCTCATCTATTACTTGTATGATCGCAACGATGTACTTGTAATGGTCCGGCGATGATGAGTCTCCTCACAACTTTGTATTGCTACTCTACACCACTAAGGACCAATAAGGTGGAGAATGTTGGAGGTATTGGTCCTACCAAGGCCTCCCTTCCATTTTAGTATTGACTTGCACCTCATGTTTACTCCCACTAAGGTATACCTATTCAGTTCTTCTATTTGTGGCCATTCATTGACTGTAGACTCTCTTACTTGGCCGGTCCCTTATTGTTGTCTGCTACAGCCTGTCCTTTTGGCTTGGTGTTACCTGTGAGTTGTCAAGTGGCCAGCATCCTATTATTAGAAGCCTTAGCCTCTTCCTGTGAGTCTTAGCCTGCGTGAGATATTCTGAGAGTAGTGAGCAGTGCTCTACCCCTTCTCCTTCCTTTGTGTGAGAGTTGAGAGAGGTACTTAGTGGTTGGAGAGAAAACATGGTGAGGTGTTGTGGTCTAGCCTAGAGTGGTGTGTGTGAGTCTAGCTAAAAGGTTGGAAACCTGAGCTGGAAGATGAATCGATCCTCAACAACAATAGTTGGTTCTATTTGGTCACGAATAAAAACACAATTCCTTCAATTATCTCGAGTCGGATTTTTAGTAACACGAGTTAAATTTTTGCACACTTTGATTTACACTAATTTTTTATTGTCTATACTAGCTAGATTCATAATTCGTGTTTACAATTGAAGCTACCTTAGACTTGAGATTACATTTCTAGGAATACAAGTTACATTTTCATACACGCAATTTACATTGCATATTGCGAGTGAAGAGAATAACAGCTCAAGGAAAATGGTGAGAGCAAGGATCCCAATAAAAGACCTATAAATACATTTCATTTTCACCATTTTCCCTACAACTCTCCAAAATCTAAATACATCTCATCTTCATAATCTATATTATCTCAGTCTGTCAATTATAATATCATATTCTTCATTATTCATGAAACCGTCATCCAATATCCACCTTGCATTTTTAATGCACTACACATTCAATAACAACATGTCAAATTTTATATTCTGCACAATGTCTTCATTTACAAAACGTTTTGTGCTTGAGAAAACAAGAAAGCAGTTATGATATGCTAGTAGACATTTCCATACAAAGCACTCATCACTCATTCAAGCGAATAATGAATAAATATTGTGTTCATTGTGTAATCATTTGAAATTTGCCGTTTGTTGTTAGCTCTTACATTTTACCTTTGAAATTAAAAAATATAGCGTTGTGGTGTATGGGGAACATTTACTACTTAAATTCGACTTATATAATCTAATAAATAGATTATTTCGTAAATAATGTATATATTTTTCGGGTATTAGCCTTAAATGGGACTAAAAGTAACGCAAAATTCCACGTTAGGACTATACTTCTTTTATTTCCAAAATAAGAGTAATATATGTCTCTTCCTATAATCTCTAATAGATTTATTTGTTGATAACAAAAATCACAGTTTTATTTATAATATATACATAAAGAATCGTAATTTTTTTATAAATTAATTAAAAAATCAGGAAAAAATAAATTAAATTAAAATTAAAAAATAAAAAATAAATATGAAAAAATATTTTAAAAACTTTAAAAATTTAAAATAAATAAAATACCTAAAAACATATTAAAAATTATGTGGACCACTACCTCTGCATCCCCGCACCTCCCAACACCACCACCACCTCCGATCATTGAAAAAATGCCACCTTGTGTAAAAATGCCACATTTCTCTACATTTTCTGAAAATGCCATGAAGATGACATTATTACTCTTTGGAAATATCCAGCTTTCTTTTCAGAATTGTCATCATGATGACATTTTTTCCCAATTTGAATTGGCAATCATTTGCAGTGACCGGAGGTGGCGGTGCTGGAAGCTGGCTGAGGTGGTGGTTGAGGTCTATATATTATTTATTTATTTATTATGATTTTTATTTTTTTATTTTAATTTTTTTATGTTTTAAAATGATTATTTAAAAAATCCTATTAGGAAGGACAAGTGAAAGGGTAGAATAGGAAGAGTTAGTCTTATTTTGAGAATTTAAACATTGAACTCCTATTGTTGCAATTATCCTTTCATTTAGTCTTATTTAGGGAAATCTCCCTATATTTTTTTAACATTCATATTTTTAATTGAAAAATATTACCTGGACGGATCTTGACTTGTCGATCGACCAGAACCAGCCTGGAATTGGAATCCCCTGGTACCAGTCTTGGTTCCCACCTTTACCCAACCCAGGACTGGCCAGTCCGGGACATGAACCGATCGGAACCGGACCGGGTATATCCCTAATCCTAAATACTCCTATGTTTTTGGAAGTGTATATGTCCACGTTATGTTAATGTATCTCTTGAAAATCTTATGGATAATAATAAAATATAAATTAGTGACTGCCGCTCGTTCTATGCACATAAGACCTCTACAAACCTAAAATATTAAAGTGCAACATTGATAATGTCATACAAAGTGTTAATATCACGGATATGTGCGCCCATGATTAAATCACATTCCATGATTATAAATTTATAATACTAGTATTAGTTATGGTGTCATTGAATCTTGGCCGGATGCTTGAAATTATCTAGTTAGTTCCGATCTGCAATGAATATATAGTGCAATGCATTATGCATAACGTTAAATCTATGAGAATTCTAAGATGAATCTCATTTACCTGATCCAACTTTTGGACCAATTGTCTTATATGATGCCACCATGTTTAGTGTTTACCTAATGATTTGTAATGATATACCCCAATATTATTGATAACACTGATCCACAGTCCACTTCATTTAGAAAATTCAGTGAACTAAATACTTTTGAGACTAAAAAGGTGATATGTTGGTGAAGATAGGAGTGATATTATGATTTGGTTCTATAATATAATCTATATATTTGCAAATTAAAGTGTGGACTTCTAGCTAGTTCTAGGTTCCGCATAAAAACCATCGAATTTAGGATGAATTTGGATATCTATTTAATGGCTAATGGTCTGTAACTTGGTATGGATTAGATATCAAAAACCATGTTTCTAGATCAAATTTATGCCTTACACTAGGTTTGTACTTGCTAATAAACCTGGCATAATGGATATTTTACCCACCTTCAACACAAATACTCTTTCATAAAACTCTGCTTTTATTTTCGCGGATCTCAGTGTTACAATGACATACGATCAGTCATAAATGATCATCGTATCCATTATTATTAATTTATTATTATATGTGTTGATACATACACAAGGTAGTCTAGGAAAATTGATGACGGGAGGTGTTTAAACTAACAGCGGCTAGCTAAGCAGAGACATTCAATTACCAGCAAGCAAATCCAGAGAAAAGCCAAGTTCACTCATCTTCCATTCATGTTCTTCTCTTTGTTTTTTACTTTGTTCTGCTCTTTACTGCCAATGGTACTATTATCAGCATCATAATCATCACCATAGAGACAAGGCATTCTTCGTTTGGTACTACCCTCAGGGGAACCATGAAGAGAACCACCTTTAACAGCAGTAGAAACTGAAGGAGTTAGTTCTAGTTGGTTTGGATCTTCATCTGAGCAAAAGGTTGATGGAAGTATAATTATTAAAAGAATGAAAACCATGCAAGAAAATTTAGAGGAAGCCATTTTTTCTTTTCAAGTTTAACTTAGTGCCAGACTTTGTAGATGGATAATGAAACAGAGTCAAAGAGGAAATTTATATAGAGGGATGTTCTAAGATGAATGCACGCATGACGTGATGGGGTGCTCTTGATTGCCATGGTCAAGTGCTTCCAACACCAATGCACTATGCATGAGTGGTATAATCATTCATTTTTATGGGCACAATACAGGGGACCTCTCGTTTGATGTTGCAATTAGGCACATGAAACTTTCATGCATGGAGGTAGAAAGCATGCCTAATTTTAAACCTTGATGGCTTGACCCATGAAATTTTGGCCTCTGAGTCCTTTGGAGAAGCCAATAACATTTTTTGAGCATAATGTGCTTTTTGTCTCTTTGGGTGTTTCGTCTCTTTGATTTAGGAGCTACCTCAATTGAGTACTTGGTTGCAAGTGATTGATAATCTATATGTGTACTAACTTCCTCTCATTGATAGCAAGGTTCCAAAAATTGCTAAACACTCCCAGTTTATGTTCTTGTGTGTGTATATGTGTATGGAAAATCTTCCTATCAAGCCTTTAGCCTTCCAAGTGGCATCGGTTCGGAATGCATATAATTTAAAAAGTTCATGTACCCTGCCTGAGTGATAGTCTAGCCCGCCCATGTCATCATCCTAATTACTGCGCATCAGTGAAATGTTTTCAATGACCGAGTCTTAACAATCTGGGTATAAAATAATACAAAATACTACTTTATAAAGCTTTCGGCTTCTTTTAAGCTACACTTTTCACCAAAAGAACTTAAAATTCCCATAACAACCTTAGTATTAGGCTTGTGACCTTCACTCTCCTTCAAAGACAAGGCAACGTTCATACACTCAATTGCCCTCTCCAACCCACCTTTATCCAAGTAGCCTTCCACGACTCTTATCCATATACTTGGCGATACTATTTTTGAATTCTTTACTCTTTAAATCTTTAAGCATGTTCTCCGCTTTTGCAAACAACTCCTTGTCAATATATCCACTAATAATTGTGCATGGCACTCGTACATCATCACAGTTTCCAGAGCTCTCCCACTCTATAAGAAGTTTCTCTGCTTCTTCAAGTTCGTCAAGTTTAACCAAAGATTTCAACATCGTTATATAATCTTGATTAACAAGTTTCTTACAATTGCTCTTTGCAACCTCCCATAATCTAAAGACATGTGATTTGTTTCCCAGCTTAGAGTGTAATGAGATAAGAAAATTATAAATGCCTCGACTTTTCACATCCATCTTCTCTTCTGCTTTTGCAAGCATGAAATTTGCTTCAATAGGTAACCCTGATTTGATGTAGCTATTTGCTATGGTAGCATATGTATTCCAGTCCATGATTAGATGCATTTAGTTTTCCAATTCATTCAGAACCTTTTCCATCCCATCAATATCTGACAGTTCTCCATATGAATTGATATAGGTTCTGTAACTCTGATTATCAGGGCACACACCATTTTTCTTCATAAGATCAAGCACTTTAGACACTTTTTCATGCTCACCAATTCTTGTGTAAAGCCCCATTATGTCATTGTAAGCAACTGAGGTTAAGCTAAGACCTTTCTCCTTCAATTTCTGTAAATGGAGTAATGCCTTGTCAACTTGGAGCTGACGAGCATAACAATGTAATAAAGCACCATAAGTCTTTTCATTCTTATCTTCTTCGCTCAAGTCATTGAAATACTCTTCGGCAGGGACTATCCCTTAAACCTTACCAACAAGATCCAAACACATTGCATGTTCGGTTGCAGAGAATCTTACTGCAACATTCTTCTTTAACTAGTTCAAAACCTGCTAAAAGAAATGCATATTACTACAAATGCTAACAACAAAATACGTTTTGATTAATACTAAAGTTCAAAGAATTATATACTTTTCCGGTTTTCCATATTAGCCAATATATTATAGTCCCTTCTGTTCACAACTAGTGTCGTTTTGGATTAAATTTTTGCTTCAAATATGTGTCCTACAAATTTTCGTATCTTCCTTTGCAATCGCTCCTTATTTCTATGCTTCCCAGGTCCTTCTACGCTTTGGCTCCCCCGATGTCTCCTCTGGGCTGGCCGAGTTTCCATCCTTTAAGGAGCTAGTTCTTGTACCTGTATTTTCCTTCCAGTCCTGTTTATCGGTGTCCTGCCTATCCGATAATCCCACCATAGTGCTGGAAGACCCTTCCACCATCCATTTTGTACCTCCTGTCGGGTTATTCTTCGCCCTAGACCCAGCTCTAAGTTCGACTCCATAATTTTTTTCAAAAAGTGATATTCTCCACCTCATAAACAACCGGACAAAACTTATTAGAATGCCGAATGATGCCACAAACAAAACAAAAATTTGGGAGTTTTTTCATATTTAAAATCCACCCATTGGCTAAACCCCACTTTTTTCAAAGTAGTACCTTTTGTTCAAAGGTCTCCTAACATCCATACGAACTCTAATCCTCAAGAAAGAGTTAAACTTTTCATCAGCTTTCCTATCATCAAAACTAATGAATTTCCCAATATAATTACCAAAACGCCTAGCAGACTCTAGATTCATAAACCCATAAGCAGCATTATGCACTTGCACCCAAAAATCAGCCTCATGCAGACTAATTTGTAACGGAGTATCTTCTGCCTGGATCTCTTTTAGCAACAACATATTTCGTTCAAACAGCCACAACCCTTCAATAAGAACACCCCTCATATCTAATTTATGATAGAAAGTAAAGATATACCTTTTGTCACTGATTTTCTTGGATTAAAACGCCTTTCACAGGAGTCCATAACGAAGCCATCAATTCTTTGAAATACTGAAATTTAATCTTGCGATCAGTCATAATGATGATAATCACTGGGAATTCAGCCTCACCCTTACTCGATTCCTCCCCTTCTTCTTCTTTGTCAAAAAACAACTCTTCCTTGTCATCCCCAATAGCCATTTGTTTGTATTGGTGAACTACGTCCTCCATTAAACAATAAAAAAACTGATGTTGCAATCCAACTGCTGTCATGAGCCCTCCACTTCCAGCCGTCGTCGAAACCGCCTGCAAAACCTTCATCCTTCATGCAAAGTCCTTCAGACGCCCCGCGAGAGCCTTCGTCCACCCTCGAGCCGACACCGACCCAAAGGAGCCGCACCTCAGATATTACCGAGAGCGGAGATCGGAAGCCCTAGCGGCTAAGCCCTAGGGAGCATTTTTTTTAAGAGAGAATAATAGATTGATTATTCTACGTTGAAAGTCTTAATGCACGTAACAAAAAAAAAATCTTATTTGAGGTCGATAACAATTATAAGAAAATTGCCGCTGGTGAGACCAAATCATACAAAGTTTATAAAAAAGGACTTACTTAGTTTTTTTCCATCCGTAAGATTTATTTACATCTTTTTTTAGGAAAACTTGTTTTTAATTTCCGTTTTTACCCTTCACTTTATATTGTGTATTAAAGATGAAAAACTTCTGCAGCGAGATCTCTCCAGCAACGACCTTTTTTCTTCCTCTTCTCTTCATCTCTGTAATCATCCAATCTCACGCTCTTCTTCTTTGTAATCATCCGATCTCACTTCTTCAGTTTCAATTGACCTCGTATGCTCCATTGATTGTTCTGAAGCATCATTTAGTAGTTCACCGACCTTCATGCGTTGCAAAAATTTTCTTCAACTTTTGGTAAGTTTGATTCTGATTTTTTATAAAGTTGTTACAGTTGATGTATAAATGAAATCCATTTATACTATATTTCGTATCAACTTTGTCATCTTCAAGTTCTAATTTGCATTCTGACCTTCAAATTGTAATTCAGTGTTTCTCTCCTCTGTTACTTCTTTCTAACGCATGCTTCTGTTTCTTTTTACTTCATATTTGTTCATTAATCATCTTGTTTGTGTGATTGATTGGCTCGTGCTGTTTGTGGAATTTTACCTGGCTTTGAAAAGAGTTCACCCTGATTATGTTATGTTCCTTTGTATGTTGAGTTGTTTATGGTCTCTACTTGCATCAATAACCATTTCCTCTTGAATATTCTGCAATTGATCTCAATTCCTCTGTCAACTCTCCACTGATGACTGGTCAACAAAAAGATGTGTTTGCCATATTTATTCAAATTGATCTCAATGTTGCAACAACAGATTTACCTGTGTGTCAACAAATTGACTTGATTAGTTCAACTGGTTTTAATCATTAAGTCCTATATGTCTTGATTCGATGAACTTAGAAGACATACATTCCTCTTCCAATAAAGATTCAAAACATAATGTAATCATTCATAGCAATATTGTTGCAGCTTTAATTGTGTTCTTCAAGTCAAGCTCTCAGTTCTGATCCAGCCTCCCATTTTGATTCTTTGTGTGTTTTTCCCGATTTTGAAGCTCTTTCTCACTTCCATCATACTCGTATAGTCAAACGTGCTATATATATAAATAAAACTCTTTAGATTATGATTTAAATATGTTTGCAATCACACATCATTTCCAATATAAAACAAAGACGTCAAACCCCAAAGTATTGCGTATTGTTTGTGTTCATGATGGTTGCCTCTGAACTGTTCGTGCAGAGATGCTTTCTGGAAGTTATATGTTCCAGACTAGAAGGTACATATTTTTCTTTTAGAAGTCTCGTGTTATGTTCAAAATTTCAAATACTTCCTTTTTTTGGATTTTAATGTCTCACTGTAATTGTTTATGGGCTATTTAATATAGGCACTTGTCTGATATGTAAGTTTTGTTACATTTTTTCTAAAAAATTGTTGTTGTTTGATGCTTTCATGTATAAACAAATTTCATTTATATATTTTGTATCACTATTGTCATCTTTAAGTTTGAATTCTCATTCTGACCTTGAAATTGAAGTTCAAAGCATTTCTCTTATCTATTTTCAGTTTCCAATGTCTATTTTTATTTTTTCTACTTTATATAGTTCTTTGATCATCTTTTCGATGAACCAGATACAACCGGTTGTGGTCCAAGAACTGCTAAAATGAAGGGTTCAACTGATGCGTATAAAGTGTTCGACAAAAGTCATTATTAACCACAAACCAGTGCACCCCCCCACCAAACAACTTCATCTGTTTCAGAACTACATGGATACTACTCATGGGATGCAACTAGTGTATTTCACACCCTCAGGGGATGACTTTTTACTCTCGGATGAAGATGATATAATGTTGCTGGTTCAAACTTAGAGATACTACCTTGTGGGATGTTTTACTAGAAACCTCTTAGGTTTTAAAATTGTTGACACTTTGGTATCGTCGTGGGGAGTCCCTTGTAATTGCAAGAATCCTATCCCGGCCTATAGTTTCTACTTTTATAATATTCTATGATTTCAAATTTGTATTTCCCAGAATAACATTTAAATGACTTAAGCTTTTCTCTCTCGCTATTTTTAATTGCCACATTGTTGGCTTTGGAACTTATGTTAATTGTCATAGTTTTTGACATTTCAATTGATGTACTCTTGGTTGTCATACTTAAGTAGCAGACATGTTCAACATTAATGTCTGCTTACTGTGTGTTTAGTGACTATCTCGCTTGTTTATATACACTGTCTATATCAATTCACACTTGGCATCCCACTTCTTCTTACTAGTAGTACTCTAACTATGTTTCGTCATGTGTCACTACATTTTTCGACTTAATATGGATTCGTAACAATTGGTAACTCACATGTTATAATTGTACACCATTATTACTAGTTTAATATGGATCTGTAACCTATACGAACTTTTCTACATCACAAATGTTTACTACGTGGTACTAGGGGTGGTTCGGTACGGTATACCGAAGATTTTATCTCATACCTTTATCATACCATAAACTTTCGGTATGCAAAAATACATACCGTTACCATACCTAAATTTCGGTATACCTTGTTTCGGTATACCAAAATTTCGGTACGGTAAGCTACGGTATCTGTAAATTATCATGATTTAATATCAAATTATTATATATCAAATGAAATATATAAAATCAGTGTTAAAAGTGATATACTAAAATTATTAATGAAATTAATTATAAAATGCCAATGATAACCTATTTGTGTTCTATTCAACTTTGAACAAAAAAATATTATAAATATGTACGGATACTTCAACACATGATATATGAAGATAACAACACATTCTGCTAAAATAATAATTTAAACTACATAAATATATTTGAAATAACATCGATCTCCGACAAAAAGTATAAATAATTCAAGAAACATGGATATAAAGTCATTATCCTTGAAGTAATAATGTTGTGTTTCTAGTTATTTTTATAATTTTACAGAAATTATTGGCTTGGAATTACGGTATGACGGTATAACGGTATACCGTTTATTTCCAAAATATATACCGATACCATACCGAAGTAATTCGGTACGGTATCATACCGTACCAAAAGTGTCGGTATACCAAACACTTCGGTAAATTCGGTATTTTTCGATATGGTAAGTCCGGTATACCGAAATTTCGGTATTTTTCCCCACCCCTGTGGTACTAGTTTATTTTTCTTTTTGTCATTTTGCTTTATGGATATTTAAAGAAAAAGATATAAGGAATAACTTTTACTGTCATGCAATTTATTAGTGTTTATATGTGTTATCATTGTATTGTATGTTATAGATTTACATTCAATTTGTAAGGATCAATTAAGACTATATATGTTTATTGTCTACTTATTGTCTAGTTATTGACTTGTACCGTATAATTAATGTCTGATTTCAATACATTATTTCTCAACAAATATCTCTTTTGACCAAGATATTCAAAGTATGAAAAACTAGCTCCCTTATGTGAAACACATGAAGTTTATTGATATATTCGCAACAACTAATTTATAAATTATATGTCATTAAAAGACAATAGTTTAGTTTTCCACACCCTTTGTTTTGTATCCAAATACAGGTACGGTCTACGAGAAAATAAAAATACATTCCAGCAGCTTTGTTAATCGAGATTCCATCCAAGTAAGAGTGAGATCGAAAAGAGGCTTTTGGAATTGATTATTGTTCCAAATTAAATGGGTCTCACAGAAGAATTGTTGATTTTGGTCATAACGCCAGAAGCGACATTGAAGTAGAGGAGCTGGAGTGAATTGCGGGACCATGTCCTTGCACCAATTGCCGCCCTGCAGTGTGGTGAAGACCCTGAAACTTTGAAAGGCAACGGCTTCGACAAGGGGAAGATGTTTGAGGCGGATGTGCTCACTGGCTTCGACGGAGAATACATGTTGCAACGCAGTCTCAATTAAAAGTAAGGGCACTATGGTCAACGCAAGTGCAGTTAAGTCTTACGGTAAGATGTAATCCTAATTTAGGAAAGTTAGTATGATTAGGTCCTATTTTTAAAATTTTTCCCTAACAATTATTGCATCAGCCATTTATGTCTTAGAGAAACTCAATGCTCCCCTCGTTAGTGAATGTAAATCGTAAAGTGTGTCATGTCATGAATTGAGACATCCTGTATTAAATTTCACTTTCAATGCATGTAGCCTTATAACGAGTTGGCTAAAACATTAAACAAGGGGAAACTGTCAAATATGTCAAATAAATCCTCATACTATTGCTAAAAAGTCAATTGAGTCATTGTACTTATTGATGAATCAATTAAGTCCACAAAGTGTTAAAAATTAGCCATTTAACCCGTTGGGGTCAGGTTACCGGTTAAAATGTACTTGTGGCTGTCCAGTTGAATTTTTTTATTCTTTTTCATTTTGTTTTTCTCTTTCTCTTTCTCTTTCTCTCTTTCTTTCTTCTCGTCCATGCTTCTTCTTCTTCCCCGTTCATCACCTGCGTTCGTTGCTGCATAATTCTCTTTCTTTGTTTGTTTCTTTCATTCATTCTTTATTTCTTTCTTATTTTATGATTCTTTCCACAAAAGGCCAGCAACCTTCATAGCAAACTCTTCCTCATCTGCCGCTGCCGGCCAATCGTCGGTCAACTCTCCCTGGCCGGACTTCTCCAACCGCCGTCGTTTGTCAGTCTTTGCCAATGAATTTTTCGATCTGGGACGTCCATCGCCCGCGGCCAAATCTTACCTAGCCGCCCGTCACCCACACTTCCCAACCGATGTCACCGCTTACCCAGCTAGCCGCCTGCATTTGCCGCCTTTCTCCCACGTCTTCCTCATCCTTTGCCCTCCATCTGTCAGCCACTAGTTCTCCAACCGTCGCCGCCTGCTGCTCACCCAAAGAAAGAAAACCGGGAAGAATGTAATAAAGAAAGAAAAGGAAATGGAAAAGAAAGAAATTGAGGCGAGTAGAAAGAAAATGAACGGGAAGAAGATGAAGAACAAATAAAGAGAGGCTCGTTGCTGCAACTCGACGGAAGAAGAAGTCAGCCGAAAAGAAAAAGAAAGTAGGAGAGAAAGAAAGAAAATAGAGAAATAGAAAAAAGAAAAAAGAAAAAAAATCAAAATTATTGCAAAACGTACATCCAGGTCAGCTATAACCGGTAACATTTATATCCAACCGGAAAAATAGCAACATTGAGTGTTTTTCAACACTTCATGGACTTAATTGATTCACAAATAAGTATGAGGACTCAATTAATTTTTTAGCAATAGTACGAGAACCTATTTCACAGTTTTCCCATTAAACAATGTGAAGAGAGTTGTGTGGGTGTAGAAAGCCTCGTCCACCTGCTGATACGGCTATAATCGCAACTCCTCGATTAAAACAAAAAGTTCCCCTTGCTATCTTCCATTAAAATGTCACAATAATGACCGTGAACTATAGCTCCGCATCTCCTCAATCCAACTCTCAAGATGTATATCCTTAGCGGGATATCGACTTCTCATGCAACACGATTCATACTTATATAGTGGTATACATTTTTAATTGATTTTAAGATTTACAGAGTATTAATTAAGATGGTTTTACTTAGATTGAAATTGCTTGGTCTGGAGTGATCTAGTCTGTTTTAATAAATGTTTGATCTTTGTATATTTTATAATCATTGTGCTTGGGTATGATCAAAATAACGTTTTCAAAGTAGCCAAATAAAAAATTAACCAAGCAGGGTCGTAAATATCCAAAATCAAAGGATCAACAATTGAAGTAGATACATTTGATCTATCCAAATCATTTTTGATTGCTCATTACCAATGTTATCAACTCCTAAATTTTCACCTCCTTTGACATGATCATTGTGAACGGTTCGTTTTCGGTAGTTGAATCATTCTTCTCCTCTGAGTTCAGAAGGACATTCAGAATTTGTCTTCTTCAAAAAAATTCCATTGCACCGTTTTTGACTTAGGACAACATTATCTTCTCTTCTTCATTTTTTTCTCCCCAGATTCACCCATTTTTATCAAACCTTGAAATTAGTTAAACTTAAATTTAATTATTATTGAAAACTTTTACCTAACAAATTATAACACCAACACTCAATAGGTAAAATCAGGGTTTTAAATAGCCGCCCGATACGGCTATCAAGGCCGCTATATAGCGATCGCGGTAGCTTTCGCTACCGCTACGGGCCACTATCAAGGTATGAAATTCAAATCACACAAAAAACCGCTACGCCGCCCGCCACACACCGCTACAGGCCGCTACCGGCACCTCCGGCAGTGCATCACAAACTAACTGATGTGTAAATGTGTAAATATTGTGTGCATGGTGTGAAATACATTAATGGTGGTACATTGAGTGAAACTCTAAATTAAATGTACATGTATCCTCATACATTATGAGACCAAATATTAATAAATATGTAAGTTTTAATTATTAAAACCGAATTAATTATTAATAAGGATGATTTAACTTTAATATCGGTTGAGGAAAAAAATGTTGACTTAACAAAACAATTTGGGACTGAAGATGTATTTGAAGGTGGTGACAGTGTAATATTGGAACTTTTTATATCATGCATGTCGATACATGTTGAGTTGTGTTTGTAATGTGACATTTAATGTAAGAATCTATTTAATTTAAAGATGTGTTAAGACTTGTTTAGTTTGAAGACATTTTTGATTGTGTGTGTAATATTTATTTAGTTTACCAATCTTTCTAATTATCATTCTCTTTTAATTGTCATATTCTTATGAGAAAACTGTCAGATAAGCCTTCCTACTATATACAGAAAGTCAATTAAGTCCACGTACTTTAAAAACACTCAGTTTAACCCCTGAACTCTAAAAAACACGCTCAATTACGCCGTTTTACTCGGTAACCATCCAGTTTCCCGGTTAACATCTCACTTGGCGGGCCACATGGCGGCACACATGGCATTTCCTTTTTTCCCCTTTACTTTTTCTCTTCTTTTTCTATTTCTTTTCTTTCTTCCTCAACAATTATACGCCCACTTCATTTCGTCTTTCATGTAGGCTGACTGCTCCCATTCTTCATAGCAACTTCACCC